GCACCCCTGTCACTTAATTACACCTGTGCTGAGACAGAGGCCCAGAGAGGTTCAGTGACTTGCCTGAGATCACACAGTCCTTCTGTTTCGAGGCCCTTCCTTAGCCAGGCCACACTGTCCTGAAGTGGCCCCTTCCTCCAGTAGTAAAGGGACACAGACCCCTCTTCCCCCAGGGCAGCTGCTCCACCCAAGTGGCCAGCGACCTCAGCTATTCCGCTTGCTAACAAAGCCCACTGCATTGACCCCTTGCTTGCGCTCCCACGCTTACGTAACACAAGAAAGCATGTTGTCCGCCAAACCCAGGCTCTGATCGCCACCCAGCTACACGCCAACTTGTTGGCCTTGGGCTGGTGACTGGCCTCTGTGAGCTTCATTTCCTCAACTGTGAAACAGGGAGCGCAGCACCGGCCTCTGGACATCGCCATAGTGATTGCATGTGACAGTAGATGCAAGGTGCCCAGCCGGCCACACAGCCAGTGCTTGGGAATGACGGCTGTGGTGATTGTCATCTCTGTCAGGCGGCAGGTTCGGGGTGACAGGTCATAACCTCTCTGCAGTGAACTTAGCGGACATGTCTGTGCTTCCTCAGGAACCACTCTCAAAAGGGGCTTATTTTTAGGCCCTTTTCTGTGCGTGCCCCGCCCCATTCCTTGCCTGCTGCCCGTTTCTGAATTCTCTGTGCAACCTTGAACCAGGCCTGCCCCCTGCCTGCCGGCACCCCCTCTCTAGTACTCGTGATAGTCTCTCGAGGGTGCTCCTCTGATGTCACAGCTTCACCATGGCAACGCTCGTGGTCCCCTCTAACCCTCCATGCGGGGACTTGGTGCAAGAGAGAACTCAGGGAGCTGGCTGCTTCCCAGCCTGAGAGATTCCATTTGTACGCCAGAGTTGTTAATGATGGAGCAGAAAAAGCGTACAGGGGAAGGAAGCAGACAGCCAGCCCCTGGGATGGAATGTGTCGTTTCCATGGAGACACACGGGCAGGAGTGGTCCTCTGGATTAGGCGGCCATTTCAACTGTGGAAGGACATTTGCTATTGTGTGAAGTTGGGAGGAAAGGCGGCGGATGTTTGGGCCTCCCCCAGCTCTGTTGGTTGGGGACCCCTGCCCTTGGGTCCCCACTCCCCCCCATACACCAGAAGGAGGGACTGCCCAACATGTAACCCAGGATGGAGCAGGATTTGCCAGTTCTTGAGTTTCTAGGGCAGGCGATCTCCCAAAACATACTTCTGAGCTCACAGAGGGCTTGGGCAGGGAGCAGGGCTCCTAATGTCCCCAGTGCCACATGCATGAGGGCTGGACTTGTACACACCCGAAGCGAGGGCTGCCCAGAAAGTTCTGCCTGGTTCCAGTGGTGCTAGGAATTCAGAGGACCAAATGTCAGCAGACTCTCGAGGGGAGCCAGGGAGGGGCCTTTTTCTTTTTATTGTGGTAAAGTATACATAGCATAAAAGTTACTGTTTTAACCATTTTTATGCATACAGTTCAGTGACATTAAGTACATTCTCTTTGTTGTGCAGCCATCACTACCCCATCTCTAGAATTTTCTCAACATCTCACACTTCAACTCAGTACCCATTAAACAACTCCCCATGCCCCCTGCCCTCAGCTTGCAGCCACTGTTTTACTTTCTGTCTCTATGAATTTGCCTGTTCTAGGTATCTCGTGTAAGTGGAGTCATGTAATATCTTTTTTTGTGACTGGCTTCTTTCACGTAGCACAGTGTCCCCAAGGCTTGTCCGTCCTGGGAAGGGTCAGGGAGGGGTGTCCTGCATTGGCATAGGAGTCTGGCCGTCACTGAAGATCCAGGTATTCAGACTGGGCGTGGGGCAGGTCTGTGAAACGTCTCCTGGTTTCGTGCTCCTCCCAGCACGCGGGAGGCTGGCACAGAGGGCCAACAGCCCCATAGCAGTCCCCATCCCTTCACTTGGTCCTTCTTCCTCACAGGTGCACATCCTCATGGGCTCCTGTTACAAGACCAAAAAGTTCCTGCTCTCCCTGGCCGAAAACAAGTTGGGCCCCTGCATGCTCCTGGCGCTGAGGGGCAACCAGACCATGGTGGAGGTAAGGGGGCTTGCGCTAGTGTCCCCAATGCATGGGTAGGAAGCTGCTCAGTGTCACACAGCCAGGAGTGCCGACAGGGGAGGGCAGCATTGCTGGTTTCCAAAATGAGACCCCTGGGGTGCCCAGAGTGTGCTTAGTTCATGTCTAGACTCCCTTTCCAGGGCTCATGGGGGGCTGTCACAATGGGCTGTGGGTTCCGTCCTCTGCACCCTCAAGGAGCACCTTAGCCCAGGGTCGCAGGCCAGGCCCGTAACGCACCTCTGTGGTTCTGGGCAGATCCTGTGCTTGATGCTGGAATACAACATCATCGACAACAACGACACCCAACTGCAGATCATCTCAACGCTGGAGAGCACGGACGTGGGGAAGCGCATGTATGAGCAGCTGTGCGACCGGCAGCGGGAGCTGAAGGAGCTGGTGAGTCCGCAGGAACTACGACTTACACCTGCAGTCCTGTCCTCCCTCCTCCACGTCACTTAGACCTTTCCATATCAGCACACAGGGGCCTGACTTCCAAATGCCAGCACCCCACCTCTTTGCCAAAGGCCCTTCTTTGTCCTTGT